CCTCTTTTTCTCTGACCTTCTACTTTACCAAGCATGATGTCCTTCTCCAGGGACTGGTCCCTCGTGATAACATGTCCAAAGTATGTGCAATGAAGTCTCTTCATCCTCATTTCTAGGGAACATTCTGGCTGTATTCCTCCAAGACAGATTTGTCTGTTTTTCTGGCAGTCCATGGTATATTTAATATTCTTTGCCAACACCATAATGCAAATGCATCAATTCTTCTTTAGTCTTCCTTATTCATTGTCCAGCTTTCACATGCATGAGACTACTGAAAATATCATGGCTTTGTACAGATACATTTAAGTATTCAAAGTGACATGTATGTTTTTTAATCCTTTAAAGAGGTCTTTTGCAGCACATTAGCCCAATGCAATATGTTGTTTGATTTCTTGACTGCTGCTTCATGAGTGTTGATCATTGATCCAAGTAGAATGAAATCCTTGACATTTTCAGTATCTTTTCCATTTATCATGATGTTGCTTACTGGTCCAGTTGTGAGGACTTTTATTTGCTTTATGTTGAGGTGTAATCCATACAGAAGGCTGTGGTCTTTGATTTTTATCAGTAAATGCTTCAAATCTTCTTTGTTTTCAGCAAGCAAATTCTGTCATCTGCATATCACAGGTTGTTAATGAGTCTTCCTTCAGTCTTGATGCCATGTTCTTCATAGAGCCTATGATAAACTTCTAATTATAAAACACATCTTAATTTTAAAGATGTTATAATGTGGAAAAAAATGTACCTTAGAATCAATGAAATACAGTACTTAAAGTTTTGATACTTTGATATGGGATGTAAAATATGTATAAAAATACACAAATTAAGAAATTAGGATGAAGAATATTGTGGTGTAGTAAGCAACTTGGTACGACTTCTCTAGCCATGGTTTTTATAATGCCCACAAGATTAGTGGGTGGAACTATATAAATGTAAGGTGTGGCCCATCAAGGGGATTAGATAGCTTGTTAGTAATGTAAATAAGGTACATGGCCTCCTTGTGGGGGTGGGACCATGGCAATAAGGTGTATGGAAACCTAATGTGAGTATGGGTCAGTTTTGTCATCCTGCCAGGCTTAAAAGGAGCCCTCTCCCAGAGGTAGAAGGCAAATCTCATTACCATCAAGACAGAGAGCAGCCAAGTGTGGGGCACATCCCTGGACCCAGGATCCCTTTGCTGAGATGACAGCAGAGAGTCAGTAGTGTTGGTGGAGACATGGCAGAGAGACGGCAGAGAAATGGAGGCAGCAGCAGAACCAAGAGACTGGCACAAGACAAAACAGTGGGCTTGACGCCCGATGGAGCAAGTTGAGGGCCTTTGGCCAGAAGGCTTGTTGGTGGAGTAGAGTACACTTATCAGCAGAGCTAAAAGAGTTTTGTAACACTTGCCTGAGTAGGGCAGAGGCCATGCCCAGAGGCCAAGGGCCTGATGGTGTGGCTGAGGGGAGTCTGTCCTAACGGAAAAATTGTATCCTGAGCAGTCCTGAACCTGAATTGTAATCTGCTACTTCTCTAAAAAACCCCATAATATGAGTCTGTCTATGAGTTCTGTGTGGCTGCTGCAACAAATTACTGAGCCCAACGGAGAAGTAGAGAGTGATGTGGGAGAGATGGATGATGTCAGAATTGGTAAAAAGGTTGGAGGTGGGAGCATGTCTGACCTTCATCTGATAGGAAATCAGCCTTGGGTTGTTGTTGGTCTGTCTCTCTCCCCCTTGTAGGATGCTGGCCCCATTCTCTTTACACAAATATATAAATTCAAAAAAATTTGCTAATGCATGTTCTACTAAAAGGATGAAATAACATTATTTATGGGAACATCAGACTCATGCTACTTAAAATTTTAGCAATTTCAAGGACATTTCACATTTTTTTTGCCACTTAATTTGTATTTCTTCTTAGTGATATCCTGAATTGCTTTAGAAAACTATTTCTGTCTCATTCTCAACTATATGGTTCAGAATAGTCCTGAATGGCCTAAATGGACCAGCATTTTCCAGAGTGATTAGTTCAAGAAGGTGGCTATAACTCAGTGGGAAAGAGTAAAATGTAGGAGATATTTTCTTGAGTTTCTCAGAAACCAAAGCTTCCTCTATGGTCAAAGGAAGAGACTACTTTCCTAGTCTTTTCTCTGATGTGACATGAGGTGAGAGTTCTGGAACTATAGTAGCCATTCTGCTGCCATCAGTAGTCTGTCATAGTTCAACTGTCTGTTGCCACTGTGATACAACTGGGTAAACCTGAGTCAAAACAGATCTGACAGTTGTTCTGACAACAGCCTAACTGCAGAATTTGTCTGCCAGGGAAAATACCTCAGACCTCATTTTCTCACTACTTAGGTGCGGATTTCCACATTCCTTGTGGTTAGGATAATAATTCACTTTTCCCCCAAGGCTTGCTAAGTAACAGATGTCTTCCCCACCTTACTTTTGCCAGACAGGAAGATAGCTCAGTACTCCACAGTTAAGACTTCAGCTGCAATGTATACTCTATGTATGCTGAAACACATCGGGGGAATCAGGGAGAAAGAGGAGATGAAGAAAAGGGAAAGGACATAGCAATTATTGAATGCTTTCTAAGTGTAAGATGATGCTTCTGATAACTTTGTAAAGAATTTTTAATTGTTCCAATTTTATAGACAAGGAAATTGATGGTAGATAACCAACATGCTAAAAGTCACAGCTAACAGTCAGTGGCAGGGATAAGATTTCAAACCAGAGTCTTGGAATCTGTAGTTCTTGAGGCCCAAGCTAATGCCAGGGAATACTTCAAGGTTGATGATGGCATTCTCTTTGGTCCACTAACTCAGATAATGTTTGAAATCCAACCCCATTTAACTCACCCTGAAGTGGCTCAGAACAGGAATATATAGGAAAGAAGGATACAGGGAAGAGGTAACTACAGGGAGAAAGTGAGAAGAGAACAGTTACATTGTGGGGAATTGCAGTCAATGTCATGAAACAAAATATGTATGAACTGCTGTATGGAAAATGAATTTACTCTGTAAACCTTCACCCAAATCACAATAAAAAAAAAAAATAAGAAAAGAAAGCTCAGAGCGGAATAATTAAGATGAAAACACGAAAGTCCAGCTTGTAAACTGGACTTGTAAAATCATGGGATTTCAGATCCCAGTTCCAACCCTAAATCATGTCTCTGGGAATATCCAAAGGTAGAATACAAATGTTCCCCCTCTACCCAGCACTGCACATACCCAACTCTGGACAGAGTGAAAAAGAGGAAAGTGGGTAGAAGGAGGAAGTAGACATCCTTCTGCAATAGAAAGCACTCTCTCCAAATACCTCTACTTGGCATTACCACCCCTAAACTGCAATACTTACTGTATTGCTTTATAAACTGTAAGAAGGTAGTTGTAGTTTTAATCTAGTTGACATAACCCAACTCCTGGAGGACTCTCTGGCATATTATGAGTGCTCAATAAAAATTCTTTGGATGAATCAATGAATTATAATTAACTGTCTGTTCTCACTGGGAGGTGAGCACTTTGATGTCTTAGATTATGGCTTTTCTTAAAAAAATCTTTGCATTCCTAGTACATTATAGAGACTCAGTGTTTAATCAATATATGAATAAATGGCAGTATCCCTAAAGACATTAAAGTTTCCAATTTACTAATCCCTTTATCAACTGCAATTAAACTCTGTATTTCATTCATTGGGACAAGCATATACCACCGTGTGATGTGGAACACTTATTCTTAACTCCATGAGTTTCCACAAGGGACAGACTCTGCTAGAGTGAAACAACTGGCCTTCCACCACCCAGAATTTTCAGCTCCTTCCCTTTGTCCTCTCTTTTTTGGAGTGAGCCTATCTTCAGCTCTGTTCCAACCAGCTGAGGCCTGAAGTCACTCAGCTGGATCAGGGCCTGGGGCTCCAACTCTGATTAATTAGGAAAGAAGGATCGGTAAGTCTTTTTGGCCACAAATCTAAAGTCACAGTCTCTAATCACTTTAGTCAATATAAAAGCAATGGTATAATTGTCATCTGTATGATTCCTACGTCTCTTAGCTGGTTCCAAATTTAGGAGGGGAGTGAAGGGTTGTTAATAACTGATTCTCTCAAATCCAACATTATTCCTATTTTACATACGCAGAAACTAGGTTTGGGAGAAGTTGAGCAATTTGCATAAAACCCCAAACCAAACTCACTGCCATTGAGTTGATTCCAACTCATAGCCACCAGCTTTAGATTAGATTGTGCCATCTTCTTTCTGCAACTAGTTGGTGTGTTTGAACTGCCAACCCTCTGGTTAGCAATCAAATACCTTAGGCACTGTGCCACCAGAGCTCTACCAGAGCAATCTGCATAGTCAACAAAATTAAAGCATGTAACAAAACTGGCAGTCAGACTTAGGGAACTCTCATTAACTCCGTAATCAATGTTTTTGCCAGTGTGCTCATGGAAATGTATTTCTGTTCATTAAAAACAAGTATATTTTCTAATAATATTCTAAAAAAAAAAAAGTGTATAGGGATGTAAGGAGCTCTGGTGGCGTAGTGCCTAAGGCATTTGACTACTAGCCAGAAGGCTGGCAGTTCAAACCCACCAGCCACTCCTCAGAAGGAAGATTGGGCAATCTACTTCCATAATGATACTACCTCAGAAATCCAAGGAGGGGTCGCTATGAGTCAGATCAGACTCATTGGCAGTGAGTTTAGTTTTTTTGGGATAGGGGTGTGAGGTGGGAGGCAGGAGAGGGAAAACGAACTCACACATATAGTATATCTAGCATTTTCCAGACATCGCCCTCAGCCATTTACTTGCTGCATATAACTTAACTCTCATAATCAAGCCCAGAAGCTGAAGGTTAATAGAGACAAGTTAAGTAACTTGCAGCAAAGTTAGGCTTCATGAGCTTTCAACTCACTGACTGATTGATTCTTGAAGGCCTAATGTTAGTCTCCTAATGTTGGATGGCTGTTAAAAGTACTGTGTTTACTAACAGTGCTGGTGTATCTGCTTGATTTACACACTTACCAGAAAGTTCCTTTCAATGGCACAGAACACAACATCCACACACAGGAGCACACCAGTCCGGCCTATGCCAGCACTGCAGTGAACAATGATGGGTCCTGTCTGGTGACTCTTCCTTGCTAAACGAACAAACTTGATAAAATCATCTGCTGAGGCAGGAGTGCCATGGTCTGGCCAGTTGGTGAACTGCAACTGTTTTACAAAGTGAACTGTTCCAGTCTGTTGAAAGAGATTAACATAAGAGATTGAGAAAGAAAGAAGAAGGAGGAGGAGACAGAAATGTGTACATTTCTTATATTACAGATCTCATGTCATTTCCGACAACAAAAACAATAATAATAATGGCTACATGGTATTATATAGAGCTTTCAAATGAATACTTAAAACCTCATTTTGATATTTCTGAAAATTCTAGACGTTGTCAGGAACACCTACTCTTAACAATAAGAATATTAATGAGGAATACAAACTGAGCAGGTACTGTGTAGGTACTTCACACACATTCTCTCATTTAATCCTCACATCAACCCTGCAAGGCAGGCATTATTCTATCTTTATTTCACAGATGAAAACACTAAGTATTAGCGAGATTAAGAGATTTATGCTTATCTCATAAGGCTAACACATTTAGAGCTAAGACTATAACACAGATGTCTTGAATCCTAATCTACCACATTTTTCTGCACCATAAAGCTGCAGAAAAACCAAGATTCCAGAACACTTCTAGTAAAAGAGGACTCATGTGTTAGGAATAAGATAAAAAGGCAAACAACCTTAGCTTAACCATAATGATACTAAATTTAATTAAAACCAGTCAATATTGATTGCCAAGTCACTCTATTGGGGTGCACTGAACTTCTTTGGCAATGAATACAGAGTAATCAAAATGGTCATGCAAGGAGACTGTGGTGCCTGCTCTTATGCTGAACCTCCTTTAAGGAGAGTTATCAAAGATCCAGGGTTGGAAGAGAAAGTACTTTGAGTTTCTTTATAATCCCTTCCAAAGAGGTCACTTTTCCCCTGGTATGGGGCCCTTACCTTACCTCAATGGGGACCCTTATTAAAAAGAAAAAAAAAAAAAACTGAAAATGGGGTTCTCTCCTCCTCTGCTTCTTCCTAACACATTTCTTTTCTCTAAGTCCCCTTAATAAAGATGCTGGTTTTCACAGACCTCCTTCTAATTCAAAGTGTCTATTGGAATCTTTGGGAGCTCTGGTGGCACAGCGCCTAAGGCATTTCATTGCTAATCAGAAGACTTCCTTTGATTTACTTAATTTTTTTTTCTTCCTGGAATTATAAAGCTAGGAATCTTCCAAATCATTTTGTTGTTGTTGTTGTTATGTGCCGTCGAGTCAGACCCAACTCATAGTGGTCCTTCCTTGGGTTTCCTAGGCAGTATCATTACAGAAGTAGATTGCCCCATCTTCCTTCCGAGCAAATCATTTTAGTGACTGATATTTTCAATATTACTTATCACTTGTCAACAGTAGAAATGTACTCTAATCTATAAATGGCAGTGGGAGCAGGGGGTAGCATTTAAGACCTCTTTTAACTTAATACCAAATAGAAAACTAAAGTTCAAGTCATTGGTATGTGAAATTGAATGATGAAAATATTACTTAAAAATCCTGTGAAGGCACTAAGTTGAGAAAAAGCTATCACTATGTCATGTACTGCAGGGGCTACATCTATGCTGCTTTGTTTAGCCCATAAGAAGCTATAGCAAGATCGTCCTCACAGATCTCCTCACTCAGTGCCACAAAGACTAAATCCCTAATGCAGACTCTCCAAACTTCAGCCCCACAATTCTAGGCCTCAGCCTGAAGGCCACAATCCTAGACACTCTTGCCAAGATGCTACAAGGTCAAATCTACTTTGATGGAACTTAGACATATCCTCAGCATTTGCATCTTTGTAGACAGATAATTCCTCTGTGCCACATGACCTATATTCACCAAGCACATACACTATCCTTCCAACACATATCAACATCACTCAGAACTAACTAGAAGAGGGTGAAGAATGCACAACTTGATGAAGATAAACAATGCCACTAAAAATTACACAAAAAAGGACCTATTGGTAATGTTATGGCAAACATAATTTTGAAACAACAGCAAAAACAACCAAAAAAATATATGTTCCAGCATGTATGTATGTATGTAAGCATATAAGTATATAGATATATATGTGTGTCTGTGGGTGTGTGTATAGGAGTATGAACATGTATAGGTAGGTATATGCATGTATGTGATTATATGGGCATATATTCATATATAATAAAGCACAGAAGGGGTATAGTTACAGACACTTCTTAGACATAACCAAACATTTCACAGAATTGGGTTTCTGGGTTTGAATGACTAGGACCTTCAATGTCTCATGGGAAATCTTGGTCAATTAGCATACTATACATCATAAAATTATCTTCCACATTCTAGTCTGATGAGTAGTATTTGAAGTCTCAAAAGCATGTGGGTAGCCATCTAAGATATAACTGTTGCTTTCTACTTGTGTGGAGCAAATGAGAAAGAAAGAAACCAAATACTCAAAGAAGAAGCTAGGTCACAGGACAAACAGTCTACATGAACCACAGCCTCTTCTACCTTGAGACCAGAACTAGATGGTGCCCAGCTACCACTACTAATCATTCCAATCAGGAACACAACAGATAGGCCCTGACAGAATGGAGAAAAATATGGGACAGAATCTCAAGTGTCCTAAATAAACAACAAAACATACCTACTGGACTGGACCCACTGAGAAGGACTCCCCAAGATTACTGCCCTGAAATACTTTTCAAACCTTGAACCAAAACTAACCCAAAGTCACCCTGTAGGTCAATAACAAATTGGCTGCAAATATAATTAATATCACCCATAAGTAATGTGCTCCTTTAAAAAATGTTTGCCATAAATATGAGACCTACATGAGACCAAAAACTGAAAATCAAACCCACAGCCAGTGAGTCAACTCTGACTCATAGTGACCCTATAGGAAAAAGCAGAACTGCCTCATAGGGTTTCCAAGGTTGTAAATCTTTACAGAGCAGACTGTCTCATCTTTCTCCCACTGTATGGCTGATAGGTTTCAACTCTAACCTTCTGGTTAGCAGCTGAATGCAGTAACCACTGAACCACCAGAGCTCTGCTATGTGAAACCAAATGGTAGCAATTACTTTAAAACAAAGATGAGAATGTAAATGGGCAAGAAAACCAGATTAATGGAAATAGAATAACCAGAATGGAAATAAGGAGAAAGTTCTCATCGTGAAGAATGTAACTAATGTCACTGAACAGCTTGTGTAGAAATTGCTGAATGGTAAGCTGCACTGCTGTGAAAACCTTCACCAAAAACACAATAAAATACTATTATTATTATTTTAAAAAGTGTAATCAAAAAACAACTGACTGGTATAGTGTCTTCCTTCCCCAATGGACATAGTATTCTAAAGATTGATATTGTGTCTGTTTTCTGTCCCCAGGACTAGCACAATGTATGGTTAACAACAAGGAATCAACAAACTCCAGGCCCATCACACAAAAAGCTCTCTCCATCCTTGTGAGCCATTATTATGAGTCCTGGCATCCCTTGTCTCATCTTTACTCTGATCATCATACTCCTCAATCAATCTTTCCCCCTCCCTTCTTCACATTCCTCTCTCTCTTTTCAACTTCTTCTTTTGCACTTAGGTCCCCCATCCCACAGTAAACTCTCTGAAACCCTGTCATTTCACTGAATGCTTCTTCTACTTCTTTGTTTTGCCTCATACAAAGACTTCACTCTACAGGAGTCTCTAATCGAGGCTACTTATTCTCCTATGAGGTGCCACACACCTCTGAGGTAAGGCTGCATACTCCTCAGTGCCACTTCTGTTTCTAGTTCATTACTCCTTCTCATTGTATAAAATCTCCTCTCCCTTTTGAGTTCATACCACTAAGCTTCACCTTCTCATTGCTACCACCAAGTGGGTAAACCACCTGGTTGATCCTCTATTTACACTGACAATCATAGTCTTTTCCTTACCACATATTAAATCCAAGTTTCAAGAGACTCTAGCATCACAACATGTTTAGTTCCCTCTTGAAGAGATGACCGCTTCGTTTCTAGTTCTCACAATAATGACTACTCCTTGAACTTACCAACACATGTAATGTTCAGTTTTAAATTCCAATATCTCTTTCTGACTAGCAGCTCTTATCCTACCAGCTCATTTGTGCTTCACTTCAATCCAACAACAGTGTGACCAAATAGCAATCTCCAGTTGTTTAAATCCTCCATTGACTCCTCAGTGACCAGCCCCTTTGAGCCTATTCTCCTCTCTGAGCAGCTTAGTCTTCATATTTGATTATCTGAATTATTTTCTTACCAAACTGCCAACTCCTTTGGTCCCTTGGGTCTTACCACATACTGAACAACATCCCATTCAGATCAGTCCCACAATCTGTCTTCAGGGATCCCAAAGGTAGGCTGCTAGAATTAATCATTGTTGTTGTTGTTGTTAGGTGCCATGGAGTTTTCTCTGACTCACAGCAACCCCATGCACAGCAGAGTGAAACACTGCCCAGTCCCATGCCAGCTCCATGATCCTTGCTATACTTGAGCCCATCGCCACAGCAACTGTGTCAATCCATCTAGTTGAGGGCCTTCCCTCTTCCATCAACCCTCCACCTTACCAAGCATGACATCCTTCTCCAGAGAATGGTCCCTTCTGACAACATGACCAAAGTAGGTGAGACGAAGTCTGGCCATTCTCACTTCCAAGGAGCATTTGGCTGCACTTACTCCAGGATAGAGCTGTTAGTTCTTTTAGCAGTCCATAACACTTTCAACATTCTTTGCCAGCACAACTGAAAAGCATCAACTTTTGTTTGGTTTTCTCATTTATTGTCCGGCTCATATGAAAATATCATGGCTTTTGTCAGGCACACCTTAGTCCTCAAGGAGACATGTTTGTTCTTCAGCCCTTGAAAGAGGTCCTTTGAAGTCAATTTGCCTAAGGCATGTGACTGCTAAGCAGAAGGCTGGCAGTTCAAATGCACCAGCCACTCCTCGGAAGGAAGGTTGGGTGATCTACTTCAGTAGTGATACCGCCTCAGAAACCCAGGGAGGGGTTGCTATGAGTCGACCATGGATTCGACTCCATGGCAGTGGGTTTAGTTATTGGTTTTTTAAACATCATCTTATGTCCTGAATTTTGCTTCCATGGGCATTGATTG